TGTATGTTAGGGCACTGTGAAGTGACGTAACTGTGAAGTCACAGTTACATCACTATGACTTAGAAAATCACGTCACATATTCTAGCGATCTGTGACGTCACGATGGTTCTCGCACTATAACTATCGTCATGCCATATCAACTAGTCCAAGCTGCCACACTTCTAAGGTGCTGTTAAGCCATGATATTTTTATCACTCGCGTTGACGCTGGCAGTAATTTTTTGGGTTTGATGAAGCATCTCAGACTTTCGTCTTAATAACTGAAGGCTGTGTTGGAATAAGAACGTCAGTGCATGTCCACCGACTTCTTTATTTTGCCAAAAAAAAAAAAAATGTTTTGTTTTCCGAGTTCTCAGGACCCCTAAACCACTTTTGATTTGGCAAAAAAAAAATTTTACTTGCATAAAAAAAAACAAATGTGTCGACTGAGAGGCAACTTTTTTTTTTCCAATTTTGGGAAAATAGAATTTTAATGACATCCTGAAAAAAAAACTTGTAGCTTTAGGTCTGAAAAGTTTAGCCCACATACAAAGAATAGTTTCTTGGATAAAATGGTGTGTAGTAGCAGTCTTGGCACTGTCCTTTCAAGTGAAAAAGTCGCTAAATTGGCGGCACACAGTTCAATGTTCCTCGCATTCCAGATTTTGTTCCTGTGCGCGTATAAATGTCAGATTTCCCAAAGTTTCGAAAGCATTGCCACATCTTAGGTCAACAAATGTTCAGAATGTAATTGCTGAGAGTGACGTCGAATGGTAAACAAAAGCATTTAACTGAGGTAATGTCACTGAGAATCCAATATTTTGAAGACCATTTAAGTTTTTTCTTGTGACTGCACTTGAAGTTGGTTGTATTGAAATTGCTGGTACACGTGCTTCTTCATGAGGTTAAATATGCATGGTTTTCTATGGACATGAAGTTACCGAAGGGTGAGCACATTATATATGAAAAAATGGGGATTTTGGTGATATTGTAGTTCATATTGTTGTGAGAGGAAATGACAAACATTGAACTCGCAGCGAATGACTGTTTACTTTCGGCCGCAGCATCCACCAACTTCTTCCTCTTTCACCGCCACTAAAGCGAGGCAATGTCAAGCTTTAAAGGGACTCTAAAGGCATCAATCAAGTCAACCTTGATTGTTGAAAAAGCGGTCCAGAAACCTTGTAGTGTTACTTCTGTGGCAAGGAAAGGCCTATTTTGAAATAAAATCACGTTTTAGTGATTCGCATCAAGTTAGCGTACTTCAAATCACCCACCTCAAGAAGCGGACCGACCGGACCGACTTACGTCACTGTTGCCGTGCACAACCTTGCCCAGCTTTACTGCACTAGTAGCAGCAGACCGAAAGCAGCGGGAGCCACAGCAGCAACAACGGCCTTTGATTAATTTCCCGCCATTAGCTCTGAGATTGCAGACTTTTTTTGGTTCAACTGTACCCCGCAAGATGGCACCATCTACCGTCAAGTGTAACTACATGAAAATTGAATTTTTGAACCACTCGCCTCGTTCCCCATAGTAACGGCTGGCGGTTCTTTTTTTCATGAATCAAACAGAAACGAACAAGCAGCATTTTATTGCGTCTCTTGATGCACAGAAGGTTCTTTATTTAGTGCAGTTGGATCGATTACTAGTGATTAATTATAGGTGGTCTGTCTGATGTCATCGGGATCATTTTAAAAATGTTCTACTGCGGCGCTTGTGTTCTTGTGCATTTACCTTAATTTCTCGGTAAGTAGGGCACTGTTGTTGATAATATTGCAATTTTAGATGTTGTCATACATTGAGCTTTCACTCTGACGTAAATTGTAATGTGACTTTAGTGTTACTTTAACTGTATGAATCATCATAGCAAAACTTTCTATTTCATGTGTATGTTTCATGTAATTCATCATTACTGCATAGTTGTCAGTACTTGCTCTGGAAGATATCTATCATCATCACCATCAGCCTGACTACGCCCGCTGCAGGACAAAGGCCTCTCCCATGTCTGGCTAGTCAATCAACACTTGTGCGTACTGTTTTTTGTTATATACTTGCGAACTTTTTAATATCATTGGCCCACCTAACTTTCTCCTCTTCACCCGCTGGCCTTCTTTTGGAATCCAGTCTGTCATCCTTATTGACCTGTGATTACCTTGCCTTCGCACGACGTGCCCTGTCCATGACTATTTATTTTTCTTGATTTCGACTATGATGTCTTTAACACACATTTGTTCCGTGATACACTCTGCTCTCTTCTTGTCTCTTAGGGTTATACTGATCATTTTCCTTTTCATTGTCTATGTCTGTATCTATGTATGTTGCTTAAATATAAATGCATATGGTCAAACTATGGGTAAGATCTGCACTGAAATTCAGGGTGTATGCCAGAAGAGGCCATTCATGTGTCATGGCAGACAAGTCTGTGCTAGCCTTTTTTTTTTTTGCTAATTTGTATTGGCAGAAAGGTCTTGCAGCATCTTCAGTGGTGAATACATTTAACTTTACAGTACAGACCACTTATAACGTAACCGCTTTTTGCATGGAACCGGTTATAACGTGAGTTTTTTTTGACCACCGATATGTCGCCCATAGAACTCAATGTATAGGCCGACCGTTTATTGTGTAGGCGCGCGAAGGAGAATACCGGTTATTGCGGGGAGTTTTTAGGCGCGCGACCATAAAATCGGCGAACGGAGCACGGTCGACACGGTTTCCCGGCGGCGTTCCCGGTGCGGCGGAACGTTGGGGATGTGAGCGGGAGGGCGCACGTGGAGACTGCCGCGAAAAGTCAAACATTGCGGAGGAGAAGAGAGGGTATAGTAGGGAGGGAGTCAGGGAGACCTTGGAAGGAGGGAGCGTGTTTTTGTCACCGTGGCGACCGTGGCAGCGTCCAATCCGGGTGCGCGCTGCGCGGAGTGGGGGAGAGAAGCGGTAGCATGCTTTTTTTTTTTCTCAACCTCCTTCTTTTGCCTCTTTGAATTTGCTGTGTGCGCTTCGCCGTGTCGTTGCCGTCTGAGAGCCCAGAGCACGTGTGTTGCGTAGCTCCTGTCGCCATGGCGTCGGCGGCGTCCTCAAGCGGTGTGAAAAAACGCTGTGCTTTATCGCTGGAGATTACGGAATGCGTCATAAGGGACATTGACAGTGACCTGAAGAAGGCGTCGGTGGCGGCGAAATATGACGTTTCCGACACGACCGTGTCGACCATCTACAAAAACAAGGACAAACTGCGGCAGCAACTGCAACAAGATTCGTCTTCCCTGTCACGGAAGAGAATACGTACGTCAAAATATGAAGACGTGGACGCAGCGCTATTCAGGTGGTTCCGCGAAGTTAGCGCTCAGAGCATCCCAGTAAGTGGCCCCATGCTCCAACAAAAGGCCAAGTGTCTCGGAGCTCTTTTAGGCCACGATGTCTTCAATCCACTCAACGGGCGGATTCAGCGTTTCAAAGATCGCCATGGCATCAGCTGCAAAGTGGTGTGCGGAGAAAGCGGCGCTGTCGATGAGAAGTCTATCGAAGTCTGGCTTCGCTTGAACTTGGAGAGTATGCTGTCGACCTATACTGACAGAGACATTTATAATGCCGATGAAGCTTGTTTATTTTATAACCTTTTGCCCAACCGCACGCTTGTGCTGAAAGGCGAAGCCTGCTCCGGCCTCAAGGTCTCAAAGGAGCGCATAACTGTATTGTTTTGCGCCAATTTGGACGGGAGCGACAAGCGCCGCTTCTTTGTCATAGGTAAATCGGCAAGCCACATTGCTTTAAAAAGCGAGAGTGCCTGCCAGTGACCTACAAAGCCAATAAAAAGGCATGGATGACGCAGGATTTGTTCACCAGCTGGCTTTGCAAGTTTGATGAGGATATGGTGGCAAAGAAGCGGCGGGTCGTGCTTATCCTCGACAACTGCATGGCCCACAACATCAAGTCGAAGTTGACCGCAGTCAACCTAAAGTTTTTGCATGCCAACACTATAGCAAAAAGTCAACCTCTCGACCAGGGTGTCCTCGAAACCGTAAAGGCGCTGTACAAAAAGCGCATTTGCGAGAGAGTTTTGCTGAGCATACAGCAGCAGCAGCAGCCTCTTAAAGTGAACTTAAGAGGCGCAATCGACATGGTGGTCGCTTCATGGTGGCAGGTAAAGGCCGATATTATGAGCAAGTGTTTCAAGAGGGCAGGCTTCGTGCGCAATGCAGATGCTCTAGAAGATGCTGAGCAGAGCGACACGTCGCTCGTCGATGAGACCCTCAACACTGACGACGTGTGGTCCTGCCTCAGTGACAGCAACTTTGTAACCGCCACCGACACTTTCTAAGAATTTGTCGATGCCGGGGAGTCAGAGCTTTCTGTTTGCGAGGAAGCGAGCACAGATGACGCGATCGTGGCAGCGGTGCGCGGTAGTGCGGAGGTTGCAACGAACGACGAGTCGGACGGCGAAGACGATGTTGACCTGACGCCAGAACCAGATTTCCCGTGCAAAGACGCATTGGAATACCTCGCTAAAGTGAAAACGTACTGCGCAAAAAACAGTTTGAGCGAGAAATCGCTTCAGTGCTTAAGCTTTGTGGAGGACAAAATTGTTCGCAGCGCTGTTCGCAAGTATTGCCAGATGAAAATAACGGCATTCTTCCGCTGATGCCGGACTTGAGAACTTTGTTTCCATGTGGTGTTGTGATTGTGTTGAATGTGTCTGCGAGTGAAAAGTGTAGTAAATTGCTTTTGAAAGGTGGGTGGCCCTTTTGACATAGGCAAAGGCCGAAAAAAGCGTGCTCTGGTTATAACGTGGTACCGCTTATAGCGCGGATTTTTACAACTCCCGTGACTTACGTTACAAGCGGTCTACACTGTAGTTTTTTCCAGTGTGACCGTATTTACAGTGTAAAAAATGATTGTAACAATTTTTAATCAGCCTTGTTCAAGTGGTGTTTTCACTATTTCAAGAATTTTGCCAATCATTTTTCTGGATTTTGTATTTTGCAATACTGTGGCTAAAAATGCTACTATGGCTTTCTGTTAATGCAGGTTTCCCAGCATGTCTATCGTCTTTCAGCAGAAAAAGACCGTTGCTGATATCCTGTACAGACGCAAGATTGAAAGATTGCAACCCTCCGAAGGTGCGCAGTTGCATTCAACCGTTGCCTCTTGGTGTTTTGGTTGGCAAAGGAAGGAATCAAATGTTTAGAGTGGCTTTTTTCATTTATGTTCTGCTGCCTAAGGCTAGCCTGGTATTGGTGCATCTGTAAAGGCCATGCAAAACCTTTTGAGCATGGTCAGAAAACGCTGCCGATCGGTAGTTGAGGCGTCTCAGAACATGCATGCCAAACATTCCAGTGCAGCACGTGGCCCCGAAGGCATAATAATTGTCAATGCCATCTAGAAATCACACTTTCTCTCAAGTGATGCCACGTACTCAAAATTACTGCGCCATGCACCGATAGTATGGCCACTGGCTGAATTGAGCACTGTGAGCTCCGTAGTTACCGTGACTGCCACAAGATACGACCATGTGCCCGCATGTGTTGAAAATAAGCCACACGCTCTAAGAATAAAAGGTTAAAAAAAAAAAGGACACATTATCTTGTAATCTCTCTTCTGGCATAGCTTTCAGCGCTTTTGCTCATTTCACAGAAGAGAGAAAGCACTTAAAGTGCTTCCTTGAACTCCGCTCATAATTGATAGATGCTAAAAATTTTTGAGGGATTCAGTTCATAAGGCAACAAACTTTTTAACCCCTGAACTGCTCAGTTTTTTTGAAAATTTCTAGTCATAAAGTGCCTATTTTTTTTATTGCTGACTTCGATTCTGATTGTACTGAAAAGTAGCTAGTTTATGTTGAAAAGATATTTTCACCACATGCTTAGTCCAATCAACGAAATAAAGTTTATTTCTGAACAATACACAAGAAATGAGCTACCTGCTGCTAACAAAATTAAAAACCTTCTAAACAAAGCAGCTACAGACGCCACATCTTTCTTCACTTGTGTAGGCTAAGCACCCTTGGGGTATTTCACTCGGGAAACTTCGGGGTTGTGTGGAAAATTTCAAAACGTGGAACAATTCGAGGTGGCTTCACTGGTGGGCACTCGCAATGTTCGCGTGTGAGCTGTCATCATCACCGGTGGAGCTACTCATTCACTGTCATCGCTGTCTTCACTTCTGGACACAAGATAAATACCTGTACTCGAACCATCATCACTCAAACAAGATGACGAAAACGAATAGCTTCTTTTTTGTGTTCACAGACCAGCTATGAATGGGTCCCCTTCACCTCACACCGTCCTTCCATGCGAAAACCGCGCTCCTGCCGCAGGAGAAAACTAAATCCTCGAGAAAATTCTACCATCTAGTGGTTGACACGCAGTGCAACCCGTAAATGAGCGCTTTCCCACTTGAACGCTAGAGGGGAGTACCTATACTGCTAGGGTGAGTTCTACTCGTTTAAAGCAGTGTGATGACAATTTGGGCAGAGCTCGTCCAAAGCAGTTAAGGGGTTAATGGAGCCATTCGATGACTACTTGGGAAAGTGTTGTAGGGTTGCTGTAACTCTTCGGGGTCGTACACTTTTCTTCCAGAAATCTGTGCCCTTCGGGTTGGATCTCTCAAATTTCACTCTTGCTTCAAGAAAAAACAAGCATATGATGTCTAGTTAACAGGGAAGCTACAAAACGTTTTAATGCATGCAGCTTTATGCATGCCCTAATCTTTAAACACATAGGTGAATTAGCATAAAACAATTTTCGCAACAATAACAAAAGTTGTACTACTTGTATTCCTGTCTTCTAGATAGTTTTTTCAGATCTGTGATCTATATGTTTTATGTATGTCTTTGCATTTACCAGCCCACCCAGATGAACAGTGTCCATCAAGTGCAGGCGCCAATCGACATGGAGAGATTGTACAGTGGTACACCTGGCACATTTGTTTTAACATGGGTCTTTCTCATGGATCAGGGCTGCAACAGCTGGGTCAATTGTGCCAATTTGATACAATTTCCGATTGTTCCGCTGAGCTGTGCCAAACCTGTGAAATTTGCTGAAATTGTATCATGCTGAACCGATATGTCCAGCCCAGCTCAAAATTTTTTTCCAGTGCGCTAATTTTGGTCGGAAATGCAGGCTGTGGTACCATTCTTTGAGTACCTTCATCAGTTTGGGAAGAAGAAAACGTTTGAAGTAATGACAGCTGGGCTGTAGAGTGGCTGAGGAAGCAAAGGTGCAACAGCTGCACCAATTTGATACAATTCTCGATTGTTGCGTTGAGCTGCGTTAAACCCGTGCAATTTGCTGAAATTGTACCACTCTACGCCAAAATGCCCATCCAGCCTCAATATTTTTTCCAGTGCGCTAATTTTGGCAAGAAATGCAGGCCATGTTGGGCACCTGCAACTTGTGCCATGAGTCAAAGCAGGCTACCCGAACTATACTGCCTAGGATAAATTTAATATATTCTAGGCTCCCGCCTTCCGCTCGCGAGACACGATCGACCAGATAAAGTAACAAGGCTGCGTGCCCATTGGTCTGCAGACCGCAATGGATCAGCGGGAGGACGGAACTTCAACACGAAAATGCGTTGCTGTAGCCACCAACGCTTCATGGGAGATGTAAATTTCTTAGCCTGAAAACATAGCTATGGCTTGTTAAGAACTAAAGCTGGATGTGTATGTCCATTTTCCTCACCTGAACAAGCTCGACGTGCTGCGAACGCCGGCATTGCCAGCAACCACGTTGATTGTTTTTGCAGTGGCACATAAAACATTTATTTTTGTCTTGAAGTTGCGTCGTCCTTGCCACAGGCCTAGCGATACATATCTGGTGCCGTCGCCAGGCCAACGGGCACGCGCCGTTGTTACTTCACGCCGGCATTGCCTGCAACCACGTTGATTGTTTTTGCAGTGGCACATAAAACATTTATTTTTGTCTTGAAGTTGCGTCGTCCTTGCCACAGGCCTAGCGATACATATCTGGTGCCGTTGCCAAGCCAACGGGCACGCGCCGTTGTTACTTCACACCGGCATTGCCTGCAACCACGTTGATTGTTTTTGCAGTGGCACATAAAACATTTATTTTTGTCTTGAAGTTGCGTCGTCCTTGCCACAGGCCTAGCGATACATATCTGGTGCCGTCGCCAGGCCAACGGGCACGCGTCGTTGTTACTCTACCTGGTCGAACGCACCTTACAAGGGAGCAGAAGCGGCACGTAACCCCATGATGAAAAAAAGGGGAGTGGGGTAGCGGCGTTGCGGTTAGAAAATGTCCTGGCTTTGGTTTTAATGCTGCTTGAGCCACCTTCGCCGCAGTATATCGGTGCTCTGCGGAAAAGCGTATTGAGATTTAGAAGGGGCTGTTATCGCTAGTGAGACTCTGCACATTTTGCTCAGTTACTCATGCGTTTGTATGCCGCACAATTCATAGTACCAGTATAATGACTGATGTTTAAATAAGCTACTGTCAATAATTTGAAGCAGTGTATAACATTTCTGCTTCTCTAAAAAAAAAACTAAATTGTGCACCATTTCTTTTTTTCGCCACTCCTATTTCTCGGTTTTACGAACCTCCCAAATTACAAGATCGCGAGCTTGGCAGATTGAAATTTAAAAGGGCTCTGCAACACTTTTTGAACATGGTCAAAAAACGCTGCCGATCGGTTGGAGAGGCTCCCGAGAACACGCGAGCCAAATATTATAGCGCAGCACGCAGCCTGAAATTCACAATAAATTATCAAAATCAGCTAAAATTGATTTCTCATGAGAAACAATGTAAGATGCTCGAAAATCACCTGTAGAAGGCCATCTATTAGTGATTGGCTGATTTGAACATGGCACACTTGGTCGTTACAGGAATCACCGCGGGAGGCGCACGATCACGCGAAAAAAGCCGCGTATTCGAAAAAAATTTAAAGAAAAAGTTCTCAAGGTTACGAGGCGTGTGTGACGCATTTCTTTTCCCCTGCCATCCTTCCGTGCTTGACCTCCAGCGCTTTCGCTGCGACGAGAGAAGGGAGAACGTGATTGGAGCGCGCGACAATTCTTTGTAACTCCGTTCGTGCTGGACGGATTCATAAACTTTTTGCGGCATTGAATTAGTAAAGAAATAGGCTCTCTTAGTAAATCCATTTTATGGTTACTTGAAGAACTGTTGTGGGGCCCTTTAAATTCTCAGAGTCGGTAAAATGATTTGGCAGGCACAGCAAATGTTAATATGGACTTTATCATTGTTTGCTCAGCAGGGTGGTTCAAAATACTTCTTTTAAAGAAATAGCTGTGCTTATGTTTACAATGCACGATTTAGGTCATGTTGAATGGGTTAGGGAGGAGAAGAAATAAATTTTATTATGAGAAACCAGCAGGTTTAGGTGGCTGGGCTTATGCCTCCCATGAGGGGACGTCCAGGGCTTGCCTTGCCGCCACCTCACAGGCGTGCTGGGCCGCCCAGGTTTGGTCCTCAAGAACGGGGCTCCCATATGTTTTTATTTCTTCTTAAAATATAAGCCTTCTTTTTTAAACTGTTCCAAATTTGATATTTCATGATAAAAAATGCGTGTTTTTTTTTCTCTCGTAAACTGCTTCAAATTTGTAATTTAGTGCTCCTAAAGTAACATTTTGCTGCTTCGAAAATTGCCCCGAATTGTATCTCGGCTATTGCGTCCCTGATGGATACAACTGAAGTGTACATGTGACGTGCTGTGGCTTCATTGAATATCATACTTTCAAATTTAGAAAAAGGGCAAAATTAATGTACCCTCGCAGCACTCATGTTTTTTGACCCATGCTTGTTTTCACGTTGTTGGAAAATTTCTCTTCCGTTAGAGGAAGGAAAAAAAGTACATGCACACACAACTACCTTTAAAAGGTTCGATCGAGTGACTTGTGAAAGTTTATTGCCTCATGAATTGATTTACATGAAAATTTCTTTTTAAAAGTGTGTCTAGAATGAGTGTCGTTATAAGGGTTTGTTGTGCGCGTTAAGTGCATCCTCATTTCTCTCATCACAGTGAGGGCTGGCATGGCGGAAAGAAGTTACATCACTGTACAACATGATCGTGAGCACACACGATGCAGCGCGATTGCTCTCTCTTGTTGTGATTCTTGTGTGTAAGTGAGGCTCACAGCATAATGTTTGGAGACTATATATGGAGCTCATACTGGCATGTGGTGGCCCACCGTGGCAAGAAATGCTTTTGATTTATCGTATTTACTCACGTAATGAACCCCCTCGCCTAATGAACCCACCCCCACCTTGGTCCTTGAAAACAAAATAATATTTTTCAATGTACCTGTTCATTTTATTTCGGCGTGATAGCCAGTGCAGTTGACAATCGAGACAACGTTAAATTATGCCATTTTATCACAAAATAACGGGCAACAAAAGTCAAAATATAGTTTAAAAAGCATACTAAAAAGTTGCGAGCAGCACGAGTGTGGATTATGTCATTTAAATTTAAAAGTCCCACTTTTTCTAGCAGAGCGGCTTCTGTCGGGCACAAAAGAAACCTCTTTGCTTAATGCACCACGCAAGCCCAGCGGCGTGAAAACAAAGCAAACGACAAAGGACAACTGCACCCTCGCGCCGATAGAGCAACGTGCACCCACGTGTGTGCGCTGCCATTCGACGCTGCATTTTTGTTGTCAGGATTGTCATAGTGAAATTCATTAGACACGTGCTGCCCAGAGCACGATCGGCTGGCACACTAGCTACACGGTCAGTTTTAAAATTAAAGTTGGTTGAGCATGTGCTAGAGCACGGGAACTGAGTGGCTGGAGGACACACAAACATGAATCCATGCGCGCTCATTACTGGAGAAAAGAAGAAGAGCTTCGGGCTACAAAAAAGGTTCATAGCTCATTTGATGCACCAAAACAAGAAAGGTGTCCTTTTGTGCAGAGCAAAGTTCTCATTTAGAGGCTCTCTAGTCCTGCCGCTGAATTGAAGGCCAGCAGCCATTGAACAGCAAGTTTCTAGAATGGGTACTGACATCATTTTTCAAAGGAGAGCTTACTCAGCCATACCAATATCTTGTATACAGAAACGGCTCTGAGCAAATGTGACACTCAGCAAATGTTGATAGATATTAATCACATTTCTCGTGGCGCACATGCCGACATCGACACTAACTTGATGTCAGGCTGCAGTACTAATCCTGGTGACTTCATGCAGCAGTCTGGAAAATTGTGATGATGTTGAGCACTAAAACACAAAAAATGGCAGCTTGCGTGTCGACTGATTTCTCTATTTTCTGATCGCGTGCAGTCACTGTCATCCAGCGTACCTGTGAAGAGAGTAAGCAGAGTCTGGAACATTCTACATGCAGGTGAATACAAGATATACGCTTATCAGAGGACAAATTAATCGTTTTATTTTGAATTTTTCGTCATGGCACTGCAGTCTTATGTCAGTGAAACGGTAGACAATTGGTACAAGTTCCACTAATGCCCGTCTGATGCAGTGCTGACACAAGCATGGGTCGACTTCATGTGCCGAGGCGGAGACTGGACACCAATCAAGCCAAGTTTACTTTGTTCGCTGCACTTCACTCTGGACGCGTACGCATGAAACATGCAGTTGCTGGCAGAATTTGGATTGTCGAGCAAAATCTGTGCTTTAAAAGTGACGCCATCTCAAGGTTATGAATCCCTGCCACAACCATGCATCACGATACCTTTGAAGGCTGTAGTAGGGCAGCAGGCGTGTATGTGATCACGAATATGGATAATTTCAAGCATGTCACAGCATTATGAAATCCACTCGAACGCTGCTGACTTTTCCAGAACACCTGGAAGATACCCATAGAAAAGCAACCAGTAAACGTGGAATCCTTGCCATTCCACATTTACAATGCGCAAACCCTTTTGCATGGCTCTGTCGTGGTCAGGCGACTCGTTTTCTGGCATACTTGCAAGGAGGTCAAATGCGAAATGGTTGGTGGGGGATGCAAGCTCAGCGTCTTCCTCTCTGCCGAAGTCATTGCTGTCGTTCGAGTTGGTTTACAAATATTTGTTCTTTGTTGATAGCACCGCAGTTGCCACACGTGCGGTGTGCAACAGATAAAGCAGACAAGTGAAGAAGCGACATGCGGACGAGGAAATGCCACGAAAAGTTGTGCAGGCGCATATTACCACCTGGTGGTGTTGCTTATACTATGTGGTGACGTCAGAATACAGCATGAACTAAAATGAGCTTTTAAAAGCATGCTGTATAATTAATTTTTCAGGGTGCATTCATGCTTACCGGCACATTTTCTATGCTCTTGGAGGCTTGGCCTATTATTTGTCGCAAAAAAATGATAAGTAAAAAATTTCGTGTCAGTACCCTTTTAATACCGTGTTGCTAAATTTTTGCTGCTATAACTACCATGGCTTTTTTCTACTTTGCAATAAATTTTCCACCCAAATTGATGTCAATATTTCTTAGTAGAAAAAAGAAAAAGGGTTTATTATACAAGTAGATACGGTATGTTGGCTATTAGTAAATAGCATCTTATCTGCCGTTTGACGCCGAATACAAGGTGCTGGTAGCCTCGAAGGGCTACCAAGGGAAACATCATGCTCCACTTGTGGGGTCTCGACGAGGCAAGCGGGCACCACGCCATGCTCTTGGAGTGAACGGACACAGCAGACACGGTCGGTACAAACCAAACAATATACATACATTTATTTAACTAATTTAGACGATGATATCGTCCGCCGAATCGGTACATCAGTAATGAACACGCTAGGACATCGTTACACAATAACATGACAAACACACATAACAAACACACTAAACACCCAAGGCGGCGTCGCCAACGCTTGACTTACCACGTGGGCCCCCCTGCGCGCTGGCCCGCGGTGCCACACGCGCCGGGAACCATGCTAGAGACTACTGTTCGCGGCCACCGCCACGCCCAGAAGAGGCTCGCTCAACTCTCGCCCGCCACCAAGGCCTGTCTTCCGCCAGGGGTCACCGCCGGCGCTATCACTGTACCAACAGTGGTACTCAACGCGAACACAACGCCATCTATCGCCCGGCAGTCGTCTCCCGAAATGCTGCCTTGGGGGGAGACACGTGTGCCACACGGCGCAAACAACTTCACAGAGGGTGTCAGCACCCCCCCAACTTCTAAGATTTCTTTGCTGTGAACAACTGCAAGAGATCTTCGTAGCAGTATCTGCAGCAATGGTTTGACTTGCCAAGCTCGAAGGGTGGTTCTTGGCCCCTCTTAAATGGTTTTTATGACAGCTTTAGAATCTTCGGATGCTACCTGCTAGAATTTTTTCATTGCCTTGTGTTCCTGTCTTCCATCTGGTGATCGATCGCTGTGCTCTCGTTGCAGAAGAAGCGCGGCAGCTTCAGACTGAAGCCAAGAAAGAAGCAGCTGAGCTGAATTTGAACCTTGTCCGCATCTGCTTTACGGCCGAGTGCTGTGAAGACGGTGTCTGGAAACCATTGTGTGTTGTTTACTCCAACCCAGTTGCAAACTCAAGTAAGCTGCCAGTCTCTTATCTGTTTTTATCTTAATTTAGCAATAGTGCGGACCATGCATGGTCCATTCAGGGGGGGCTCTATAAGTGATCACAGAATCATAAAAACATCACAATCACAGGGAAAAAGAAATAAAATAATAAGAAAAATGAAAGAAATTAAAATGCAAAAAGAACGTTAGTTACAGTCACGACGCATAAAAAGTACAAGCTTTGCAGTTCGGGTACAAAGTCATCGGCATCAACAACAGTAGAGGGTGGAGCATGGCATTAGGCAGAGGCAGTTCTAGAAAAAAAGGTGTACTATTTATGCAATTTTGTTTTCACAGAAATAGAGGCTTGTACCTTACTGTGGGTGAGTCTAGTTTTCCTAGTTGTGTGGGAACATACACAATCAAGCATATGAAAGAAAATCTGTAAAAAGGTGTTGATTGATTGATATCTGAGGTTTAACATCACAAAAGCACTAAACAGGGGTTGTGTCGAGCCAATGTTTCGACTAGCAGGCTTGTCTTCCTCAAGGCTGGAGCAGAACTGATTTTGATTTCTTCAGCGCTAGCATGTCTACACTTGGTACCCTAGAAGGGGGCAGGGTGGGGCTGTGATAGATAACTGTTCCTTCTTCACTCATACAATTCGTTACAGCCCCACCCCCTCCCCCACTCTCTCACACTCGCTTATACATGTTGCCTCTCTCCCTCCGTTGTTAGAATAGAGGAGAGGGTACGAAACGTAGACACACTATCAATAAAGAAATTAATTCTGTTCCAGCCTTCAGAAAGACAAGTTCGCTTGTCGAAACGTTGGCTCGACACAACCCCTGTTTGCGCATTTTTCATCGCAAGCTTCCCTCGTCTTCTTCGCACCATTTTTTAGACAGTCAGGCATGCTTAACTTTTATAGTTACTTTAAGACAGTTTTGAAGAAAAATAAGCCTACTGACCGTTCTGTGGGATTCTTGCTATGGGCAGTTGTGTTGCATCAGTAGTGGGGAAAGTGAGTCAGTCATTCTATACTTAATAAGTATGAAGAGCACTGCTTTTCTTTGAAGGCAACCAAGTTCTTGAACATCACTTTTGTTGGGGGGGTCCCATACAATCGAAGCATATTTTAATATAGCTCTGGCGTAAGCATTATGTTATAGAATCTGGACCCTAGGAGGTGCGGTTTTAAGTTTCCTTTTCAAGAATGTCAACTACTGAAGTGCAGAGGTACTCATTTGTGGTTGGACACTGCTAAAGACTCGTTCACACCTGTGGCTAGCACTGGTCTGTATGCCTGGCCTCACTTGCACGACTGAAGGGGCAAACAAATCAAACGTGCAGTGGCAGCCTATTTTGTGAGGCTACGGCAGTGCAAGTGGATTTGAATAGTGTGTGGCAACAGGGGTGTTGAAGATTGGGCGAGTTGGTTCGTCGTACTTGAACTGGTATAGCGCATTACGGGGAAGAAGAAACGGCCGAGCAGACCGACACAAGAGGACAGAGCGCTAGTCCTCTGTCCTCTCTGTCCTCTTGTGTCGGTCTGCTCGGCCGTTTCTTCTTTCCCGTAATGCGCTATACCAGTTCAAGTGTGGCAACAGGTCTCACACATGTTGCCTTCAATCACTTTTTGGTCGCAAGACTGGTCCTAGTTACAGGTCTCAATGAGCCTTTACTCTGTTTCGGTGCTTACAGCTCATGAAAATTACAATAAAAAACTACATTTTTACCAAATCTCAAGTAAAACAAGTCGCGTATGCAATCTTAAGAAAACAAAAACATTTCGTTCATTTATGATCTTTGTGCATGTGAGTTTATGTTGCTTTTGTTAAGGGGTTTATTGGCAGAGTAGAACACAGATTGAGTAGCGGTCAGCAGCGTCTGGCAAAGCGTAGCAACCACAAGCTCATGCCGATGGCGATGTCGCTGAGGCGCAGAGCATTACCGCTGAGGCCACTCTTCCTCTCTGTAATAGCCCTCTGTAGAAAAAGACGCCATCCTGGGGTCTTTTTCTCTACAGCGCGGTATGCTTCGAGGTATTTGGGAACAAGTTTTGCGGGGTAGCCAGGTGCGGTAGCAGGTACTCGAAGCCACACCAAAGAATCAGGTGGAAAACTTGAGCTGAACGATTCCTAGGTTGATGGGATTGCTGCTGCCACTGGTCCTTCTGAGAAAAGGAGTGGGCAAGCTTGTGGCATTCTTCAGCATGTCGGGAAGCTTTGGACAGAGGAGTACTTTCGGACTTATTAGGCATATATGAAAGAATAGTGTCTACCGTATTGGAAGGTTTCCACACGTTTTTTGTAGGAAAACATTTTTATTCCAAGCTGCGAAGCTGGAATACAAATAAAATAAGCTCTAGAATGTCACTCACACTTACACCTGCTTTGTTTTTGAAGAAAACAGCTCTAAAATGAAAAATTTGGCTCTCAACATGGGCATTTGTTTCGTCGCATGTAATGCTCCAGTCCTTAGCTACCTGGTCATGGCACAATGTGATAAGAATATTTTGAAGCATATACAGTCGAATCTTGATGATTCGAATTCAAAAAGGCCGGAAAATTTGCTCGAATTAAGAGAAGTTCAAATTAATGAAAGCTAAATGAATGGACGACGGCCCACCATTCAGTCGCGCATGTGCATTGAGCTAACACACGAGGGGAAGTTTCAGAAGACTTACGTTTATTCACAAATCACAGGACACCGGCCATTCATTGAAGTAATCGGTGACGCACGTCTGCACACGTTTGCCTTGCAGTGAGTCAATCCATTTCGCATGCAGCTTGCAAAAAATTTCTACTTCCGCTTCAGCATTCTCCTCGCAAGAGAAGTTGCGCGCAGCAATGTCCAGTGCCAAAACTCTCTAAAGACGACGACGACAACGACTGCGTCTTCACTACTACCTTCCGCCTCAGCCGCAGCATGACCAGCACGTGACGAGAAAGGAGGAGCATCTCTACGCAGAGAGAAGCAGATCGGCATTTGAAAGAAAACCAGCACTTGCAGCAACTTTTTTTTTTTCTCTCTTCGCGTGCATCGTTGAAAGAGAAGGATTTACCTGGCAGGGACAGGAAAGGGGGAAGCATGGCACTGACGGGAAAAAAAGCCAACGCTCCACGACAGCTTTCTTTTTTTTTTTTTCTGTCTTTGCGTGCGGCTTTGAAAGGAGAAAGGTCTTTACACGGCAAGGACAAAAAAAGGGAGAAGCGTCGCAGTTCAGCATTTGAGAGAGAGCAAACATTCTTCTGCAGCCTTTTTTTTTTCTTTTTCTTTTCTTTTGCGCGCAGCGTTGAGGTGTCGGAGGTGCCACCGTGGGATTGGGCATGGTGCTGAGAGCATTATCGGAGCGCGGCATGTTCGAATTAACTGTCGCAAATGCTTTGCATTCGAATTACAGGGAGTTTTCGCCCATTGGAATACATATAGCTTTGATGGGACCTTAGCGGGAGTTCGAATTAACCAAAAGTTCGAATTAACCGGAAGTTCGAATTAAGCATGTTTGAATTAATGAGATTCGACTGTACCGTCTTTTTGCGTGCATATTTTCCGTTATGTAGATGATTTTTCGGTGTTCCCTGAATGCAATGAGAATGTCTTTGACCAAAGGGTCGAGGCTATTTTGCATATTTTCCAAAAGTGCCTGAATCCCTTGGACATTAAGCAGGAAAAACCTGAAGAAGGGAACACGCAATTTCTCAATATTGCTCTGCGTTGCCCCAGTAATCACGTCTGCTCTAGGTATGAACCGCATGTTCAGAAGTCACTTTTGTCTTATCAGTCAACACATTCTAAACTAGGGAAAGGGGGTATTGTTAAGATGTACATCAAGAATGCTCTTGAGAAGTCATGCATGCATGCAGTTCATGAATCGTTCACGCAGCAGGCTGTCTGCATGGAAAAGGCCAGTTATCCAAGACATGTGGTGTTATCAGTGGCTGAGGCTATACTGAAAAGTAATAAGTCTTGCTGTAGCCTCATTGACAAGGCAGGTGCCACTTCTGAATGCAGGAAAATGAAGACGACCATTGTGCCTTAAGATATTGTAATTGGTAGTCGGACCACACAGACCTTGGAAGGCCTAAAAAAAGAAGCAAAGAAAGAGCTTTTACACATATAAGAAGGTTCTTCGTTGCAGCAACGGAGTACATGATCCTGAAATTTCCACTAAAGTGTGAGCTGCTGAAGAGTGCAGAAGTAGCAAGGCTTGCGTCCATTGAACACGCCAGGTTTTCTGACGTCAAGTACTTAATCAACCGCTTCCCAGTGCTGCTACCACTTCAAGAGGGGCAAGATGTGAATTCTGCTCTGGATGACATTCAGGCAGAGTTCACGCGTCTTCAGTTGAAAGAATTACCCGCTGAAGTACCTAAGGAGCAGCAGATTGATGAGCAATGGCAGGTGGTGTCCAGTTTACGAGAAGTGGATGGCAGCTTCAAGTATGCCAGACTTTTAAAGTTTATGTTGGGGGTCCTAACACTTCCGCATAGTTGTGCGGAGTGTGAAAGAGTTTTCAGCAAAGTGAAAAAGGCGCACACCCAGTTCAGTGCCTTCATGTCAAAAAAGACTGTGGAGCAGTTGCTTGTCGCAAGATGTGACCAGTCACACTCGGGAAAGTGCCACGAACAGGTCTTCGAGAAGGACTTCCTGAGGAAGGCCAAAGCTGCCATGGCATCTATGCTAGTCTGTCCCTCCACTTCCGAGACTTGGGAACTTTTTGTGCTTCTTTTGTGAAATGTTTCTTTTGTATTCCATTCATCTAAGCCAGTTTTTGGAAAATAAAGTGCCAATTTAGTATCTATGCTAGTCTGTCCCTCCACTTCCGAGACTTGGGAACTTTTTGTGCTTCTTTTGTGAAATGTTTCTTTTGTATTCCATTCATCTAAGCCAGTTTTTGGAAAATAAAGTGCCAATTTAGTATTTTTGTACTTGGTTTTAGTATTTTTTGTCATCTCCTGTAGTACTTTAGAACTCTGGGATTGGCACGTCTGTTGGGACATCAAACCCCACATATCAATCTGGTT